GGACTCCTAGATGTGTTAATTTCTGTGGAACACATGGGGGTTTGTGTCTGTAAGAGGTTTCTTACAGCAGTCTTGTTTCCAATGGTCTTTTCTGACAGCAATCAAGGTGTTTGAGAACACTAAGGGGAATCTCCTAATTTACTGTTCAGATGCTTTCATTGAACTTACACATACACAGAGATTAAATGCTGACAGTATTTGTGGATTAAAATGTAAAGGTGGTTTTCTTTGAAATTTTCTAGTTACAGTTCTGTATGAGAAACTCAAAAAAGGTAAACTAGAAAAAATATTTTCTTGATTTTCAGAGCATATTTTTAATTGGTTACTCCACCTTAAAGTTCACTCATCCTTTCATGACATATGGGAGCCTTATCTCTTTGCAGCTTCTGGTTTTTGAGAGTGAGGAGCCTGATCAGATAAGAGCGAGAGAGAGAACTCTTACTGTGATTCAGTGCATTTTGTCAGCAGCTGCCTGTCTAATCCAGTGTGCTTATGTTTCTTAGGGGAAAAGCAGAAGTGTTCTATAATAAAGAATAAAACATAAAAAGGAAAAAAGCAGTGAGAGGAGAATGCACCCTCTCTTTTTAGCATATTTTTGGTAATATTTTTCAAATGCTTAATAGACCATCTATTAAGAAGTTAAAGACTGCTGATTTTGTTCTTGTGTGTGGCAGAGTGAGAGAATGGTTAGCACAAATGGTTTTCAATTTTTATCCCTTTTGGTGCTGAGGAGTCCAGATTGCTGCAAGCATGGCTATTGTCAGAAAAACAGCTGTGGGAAAACAGCATCTTGGAACATGATATTTGAAATTTAGAGATTATTTATTTCTTTGAAGACGTGCATTTGGATTTAGATTGCTGGTGTGTGGCTTCAGGCTGGGATGAGTTAGCCCTGATAGTACAGCAAACTGCCCAAAGGAGGGAGGAGCTGACAGCACTCTTCAGATGGTAAGTGGCGAGGTTCTTAGCTGGAGGCTGTCTTAATTAAGCTAGAGGCTTATTAAAAAAAAAAAACAACAAAACAACCTACATAAAATCTTTGTTTTCACTCTTCTCAGCTAAGTGTAGCTGAAATCTCTTTATAAGGCTAAGCTGGATTCACTTCTGGCTGATACATCACAAGCATGTGCTTAGAGAAAGATTCAGAGGACTAACTGTTTTCAGGCTGTGTAGTGTTGTAAGGTTGACTTCCTGCTTGGAGTCAGAGTAAACAGCTTGACAGAGTTGACTTCCATCTGGAGTAGACTGGGATGACAGTGAGGAAAAAATTGTGTAGGTTTTTTTTAGTTTGTTTCTTAAGAGGACTGTGTGAATGAATGGACTTTTGTACACTTTTACATTATTTAAGGATTGCAAATGCAGCAGGTTAACATTGTAGTAAGTTAAAAAAGCTGTACTTTGACTGTGGGCAGTCTCATTTGTGTTTGCAGCAGGCAGCTCTCTGGAGAAGGATATGGAGATCCTGGTGGACAAGCTGCCCGTGAGCCAGTAGTGCCCTTGTGAGCAAGAAGGACAATGGGATCCTGAGCCGCATTAGGAAGCGCACTGCCAGCAGGTCCAGGGAGGTGATCCTGCCCCTCTGCTCAGCCCTGGTGAGGCCAAATCTGGAATGCTGTGTCCAGTTATGGACTCCTCAGTACAAGAGAGACATGAAGCATCTGGAGCAAGTCCAGCAAAGGGCTGTGAAGATGGAGGGTACTGGGGCATCTCTTTTGTGAGGAAAGGCTGAGGGAGCTGGGCCTGTTCAGCCTCAAGAAGAGACAACTGAGAGAGGACCTTATCAGTGTGTTTAAGTATCTGAAGGGAGGGTATCAAGAAGATGGAGCCAGGCTCCTCTCTGGGGTGCCAAAGCAATAGGACAAGAGGCAATGGGCAGAAACTGATGCATTGGAAGCTCCACCTGAACATGAGGAAGAACTTCTTTACCGTGCACATTGGAACAGTTGCCTGCAGAGGTTACAGAGTCTCTCTTAATTTTGGAGATTCTCAAAAGCTGTCTGTACTCAATCCTGAGTAACATGCAGTAGGGAAGCCTGTGTGAGAAGGAAGGTTGGACCAGATGACCTCCAGTGGTTTCTTTCAACACCAGCCATTCAGTGGTTCTGTGAAGCAATCCTGCATCACTGGGTGCTAAGCTCCCATATGTTAAAAAGCACAGGTGTAGTGGAATCCATGGGACCCAGCATTGCTGTGCTTTCACCTTGAAGAGCCAAGAACATGCCTGTGTCATATCGCTGTGTTATTTTATCAGTAGTTTTTCTTTTTCTTGTAGAATACCAGTGAGAAAGATGTCTGTGCTTTTAAAAAGGGTATAAAGGAAAGAGAAAACATTTGGAGAATAGTCAGGTTCCTCAGGGCCCCTGGCTTGGCCTGCTAAGGCTCATCACAGCAGCAGCAGTGCCTGGGCTGTGTGGGGGGGATGCCCACACTTGTCTCTGCTTCACACTGCACCTCAGTCCTGCCTTGTCTCCAGCCTTGTTGTCTGAGATGTCCATCCTGCTGTCACTCTTACAAAGGTGGCTCTGCTCCTGCTGTTCCTGGCTGAAATCTAGCAGCAGGTGCTGGGTACTCGTGGGAATCACTTTTGCAAATTTGACTTCCAACAACAGATTGGTTCACTTGTATTGATTACCTTATGTAGATGTTATGTAGATCTATGTGTTAGGCTTATGTAGATCTTCAAAGTTAGTGGCTCCCTCAATGTCGCTATGAACAGCATGCCAGCTACTACTGCATATTGTACATGATGTTATAGTCTTGTTGTACTGGAGCAGATGAAAAGCTTCAAGAAGTGCCATGGGGAAAATCTGGAAGTACCAAAAAAGATCAAGTGAGCTGACAGTATAACAAGAACAACAGAATTTGTAAATGTGGACGTTCAAAGTGAATAATGCAATGAGTGAAGCACAGCTAAGTAATGCTGAAGAGGGTTTTACAGTTAGAAATTGTAATTTTGTTCTTTTAAGAGCATTTCTGAATTGCAGTTGTTGCAATTGTTTTCTTTTAAAGCATGCATGTAAAATCTCAGGTAATATAAGTGGTGAATGTGGTCTTTATATACTGCAGGTGAAGCTGAAACTTGTGTGACTTGACATATGCTTTCAACTCTGCTTTGTAATTGCCTTTAGAAAGTTACATAAAATCTCAACCCAGTTCCTGCTCCATTCAACTGAGTGATGATAACCTAGAGCCTAATTCTTCAGTGCTTTGAAATCATGACCAAGAAGTATTGTGAAAATGCACATTTGTGTAAATAATTTGAAGTGCTATAATTTGAAAATGCTTTACCCTTCATCCTTTGTGCTGTTTAATTGTTTCTGCATCTAATAATTTTGCTTAGAGAATTTATTTCATTTCCTCTTTAGCTCACAACCTGGCACAATGGTGTAGTGTTTGGGCTTCTAGGAAGGCATGAGGTTTGGTAGGGGTTTAAATAAATTTATATTATTTAAATTTATAAGAGTCTCTAAATTGGTCTGAACATGCATTTAAAGGGTGATCTATATATATTGTTTAACCCAACTTTGAACTGTATTACTGAATTTCCAAATTGGTATATGCATGTACATATGCATTTTTGCCCACTTGTGTGTGTGTGTGAATGCATACCTTATAAAAGAAAAAAATTAATGTCTCTGGATTGATGCAGATTATTTAACTTTTGTTTCATGGATGTTTTCTTAAAGGGGATATGTCAGCTGCTTCTGGCTCTAGTGATGGATGCTATGTTAGTGCAGTAGCCTTTTCTCTGCTGAGGAAGGACAGAGCTGGAATATGGTCTGAGCCTGTCTGATTCTAGGGCTCTTGACTTGTCCTTGAGAGCTGATAACTGACAGCTAGAATGGCTCAGGGATGTATTATACATATAATTGCGTCCTATGTATGCATATTATATGCTAGGGCACGTTGTTGCCTGTGGCAATGTGAAAGGGGGTAAAGGAAGGAGTAGGAAAGAATCTTTTTAATGATGGGCTGTGTTTTAGAAGTTAATGTATAGGTTATGCTCATGTGAACATAGATTTTTTTTTTTTTTTTTTAGTTTTCAGTTTTTAATGAAATATGTTGAGATGGGATATTTCAGTACTTTCAACGTTAAAGAAATTGAACTTGCCAGATAGTTTTAATGCCAATGTCTATACAAGGCAATGTTACTTAGGTTAGGAAAGCTCACCACATGGCTCCACAGCAGCCTCTAATTTAAATGTTACTTGTCAAATGTGCTGGTGGAAGTAAAACTTAAAATATAGCATTTGACTCTGCATCAGGACCCTTTTTTCTTTTCTTTTTAATAATGCTTTGGCCTCAAGAGTGGCATGACCTGGAGGAGATGAGGCAGCGGTTCCAGTTCTGTGCTTCTAGAAGATAGGAGTATTATGTGTGATTGCTGCCTGCATCCTGTTGCCTCTTGCTGGCTGTGTCATGAGGTGAGGGAAGCTGTTTACTCTGAGCAAGCAGTTGTGCCTCCCTGGCTCTTGGCTGCTGTTTCGGGGCCATGGAGAGCTGGAAGGGGCTTGGAGTGTCGGCAGGTGAGAACCTGCAGTCAGTGTGCCTGACAGGCTGCTGCACCTGCCTGTCACAGTGGGGTTTTGCTCTGCCCCACAGCAAGGTGCCTTGGCTTTTTCTTTGTAGTTACCTCAAAGCTTCTAGAACAGTACAGGCTGTTTGTGCTCTATAGTGAGGAAGGGAAGTGTGTGAAGTATTAATTAGATATTCTTCTATTGAATAAGGGCTTATGATACAACTTCAGAACTGTGGGAGAAGTGTGTGCATGTGATGACCCAAACCACAGCTGCGCGTGACTTGGTGGTCCTTGTTCTTGGGGAGTTATCCCATAAACCAGTCAGTTCTGACACAGTGTGATAAAATCCTGCATAGGGTGAAGACATGAGTGTGATTCCCTCTGTACCATCCTTGTATGTCTGCCTGGCAGGCAGTTGCACGTCCTTACCATGCTCCATTGCAGCCTGGAGTGATGCTGAGTTTTGCTCCTGTCCTTGCAGGCTGAGCGACGAGAGGCAAACATGGCCCAAGCACCCGCTGATCCGAGTAGTGCGGAAACTGCTGACCCAGAGGAGAGTTCTCCAAACATGATAGTCTACAGAAAGGTAAGGATTTTGACTTGTGGCAAAAATCCCTTCTCTATGTGATTGGTTTATAAAAGAATCCCATGCCCCTTTTGAAGTCAGAGGTATATTTGACTGCTTGGACGCATAGCTGAAAGACTTTCAGGAAAGTAAGTGTTTCAAACTATAGCATTTGAGAGCTTGGAGGTTGAATTCTGTTCAGTGGAAGCACTTGAGCTTGTTACTGTGAAATATTTGATGAGAAGCTAATAACTTGAAATTTGTAACTTTTTGTCATATGACTTTACGTAATGGTTCAAGTTTACTGCAGCTAGCTGAAAGAAGTGTACCTATCTTCCAAGTTTTGTCATACTAAGCATAAAGCAGCCTCCATACAGCAGTCTTTTGGTAATTTTCCCCCCTATATTCATATTGTGTTTCTTTTTGAATAATTAGCAGTTTGATTCTTTATATGTCATTTTTCTTACTTCCTATGCCTTGCTTAACTTAAAAAAGAGTGTTTTCTCAAGTGCTAGGGAAAAATGAATTAGACAAAGGTGAAACAACAGCAATGTATGGTGTTAAAGAGCATTTTTTCACCATGATAATATGTCTTATTCTGAAGTACTTTGGAGGAAGCATAAAAGATGAAGGAAAGCTATCTATTGACCCATTTGCAAAGGCATTGTTTTATTTTGCGGTAGGTGTATCCTTCATCTTTGAAATTTAGTATTTTTTTTTAGTTTAATGAAATAATGTAAATACATTTTATTTAGCCTGCAAAATATTTCTTATGTAGTGTGCAGAAGTTCTGTATGATTCTGACAGAAATTTCTTGCATAGCTTAAATAAGCAACCATTCTGATAACTTAAGAGCTACACTGCTCTTGTGTAGTATGATCCTGGGTAAAATTACTGAAATGTGTTGGAGGCACATAGTTATGTCTTCTGCTTGCTTGACTGCAATCTTGATGACTTTCATATGCTGAGAAAATAATTTAGGTTTCTTATGGAGCATGAGTTGTTTCAAGTGTTACTTTTTGATATCCATAATTTTGGTTTAGTTGTTGTGTATTTGGTTTGGAATCTGGAATTGTTAACATGGGAAAAATTTCTGGGTAATGTGTGGGCTTGTTTGTTTTGAATGTGTTATGAACACACTTTGGCTGCTAATTTGGAAGTAGCACTAGTCGGTTAGTCAGATTATTTTTTTTCCAACCTGTTTGCTGAGAACTCCAACACCCCATAGGCTGAAGTAGATACAAGGTGTGAAGGAAATGTCTGGTTGCACGATCTAGAATTAGGGCATTAAATCTGTGACTGCAGAGAATCCACTTATCTGTTCCTGAAAAAATTACTTTATTTGTGTGCCTCACTTTCTGTTCGTCTCACGTTCGGCATTTCTACTTTAGGATTTCTCCATTTCTTTGCCTTTTGATATTTACTTATTGTCATGTAGAATAGAGGTTGTGAATTCTGTGGTATCAATAGGGAATATACTCATGCTACTTGATTAATCTCTCCTTACTGGTTGTCCTCTGGTGTCAGTATTACCAGCCTTTCATAATACAGTCACCTGTCAAAATACATAGTTGTCTTTTAGAATAGCATGCCCCATGCACTGTGCAGTAAATGGTGTATTCTGTATTATCAATTTTAAGCTAACACATCTGTCAGGTTTTTATGCTGTTTCTGTTGCTTTGTGAATAAAAAATGTGGATATTACCTATTTTTCTGAGTAAATTTTCATTGGTGATTGACTTTCTAAATGTAATTTGCATTATTTTAGATATTAGTTTTAATATTAGTAGTTGGTATTATTTGATATTTTCATATTAGTTTGATATTAATTAGATGTATTACACATCAATTTTATGTTCCTTAGTGTTGAAAAATCATATGCGAAATCTGAGACAAGACTATTATTCTTTTGATTGTCTCTCCTCTCTCCAAATGAATGTTTAGCTCTTCATCTCTCATTTGCTTTCAAATGTCTTGATTGCCAGTAATGAATGAGAAAAACACTGCACTGGACTCCCTGAAATATTACACACAATCTGCCAGAATACCCTGCAGTTCAGGGTTGGTACTGTGTCACAGCAGAAGGAAAGGTTTGCTGCTCACAGCAGGAACCCCAAGGTGCAATTGCTGATCCCCCTTAGGAAGAATAAATAAGGGTGGTCTTTAGCAGTGGAACCACAGTGAATCCTGCTCTGAGTGTGAACTGTTTTGTTGCTTATCATAACTGTCATGTTTGAGGGATCTGGGGGAGGAAAGCCCTGCAAGTAGAACCTCACATTGTCAATACTTTTTTATACTTGGTTTACTGAGAGTCTCTGGGGTCTGTTTGAAGTTCATGTGCCAACAGCTTCGTTCTAGCCTGGTTTCATTTAGTAGCTAAAGGTAGACACGTTTAGAGGAAAAACCAGATCTTAGGCAGTATTGAGTGTCCCTTTGGAGCAACCTCTCTGTTTTGTTTATGGAGAAAAGCCTGGAACAGGCTGTGCTCTTTCTTTAGGTAGGTAAAACTTGGTGGGATGGGTTTTGGCCATGCAGAGCAAAATAAACTAATTTATTTTGACTCCAATTACTTTATGATATTCTCTATGGACTCCTGCAAGCAAATGAATTCTAACTGCTTTGATTGCTACAGCAGATGGTCTCAATGAGATAAGTCTTATTTTCTTCTGCCTTCAGTGTTAACCTTTCAGGGGTTGATATTTATCAATTTGTGAGGTATGTTATTTTTTTAATCCAAGGTACCCAGTGTTGCTCCACTGTTTAGGATGACACCTGTGTGTGAATTAAGTAGTGCAGATGCATTTGTTACGGTAACCAGTGTTTAGGGTGTGATTTGCCTCACCCTACCCTTGTTAAGATGAGCTGTAGCCCAAACGACATGAGCTGTATTGACCAGGTCTCTAGTGGCAATCATGGGTACCCGGCTGTCAGGTACTTATGCCATAGGATAGACATTTATAATTAAGCAAGGTGCATTCCACTCTTGTGGAACTGAGTGTCCTCTTGTCTCTCTGTGCATGGCAGTGCTGAGCCCTGGGCTCTCACAGGGCTGCAGGTGGAGCTGCAGGAAGGGTGGGCTGTGTGGCATCGCTTATCTGTGTGGCACAGGGGTACCCAATGGAGATGCAAGGGTGCTGCAGACACTGCACTGCCATTTCAGTACTCTGCGAGTACGCTGAATCTGGCCACATCTGGAGAAGATGCTGATGCATTTTTTGATGGGATCACTACTGGAGGAGTGATGCACAGTTCTTAAAAAGCCTGTTTGAAATGCACAACCCTACTTTTCATGGGAGCAGGGAGTGACATCCCCGTCCTCACTTCAGTCTGCGAGCATTGTGTGGGTACTGCAGCATGGAAGGAAAAAAATACAATAAAACTCAGGAGAGGAGAAGAACCTCTACTAGCAAATAGTAACAAAAAATATAAATTGATTTTAAATGCTGGTCACAATCCCTTGAAATCCAGCCACCTTTGATTAGTCTTTCTTGCAAATGCTGCTAACTGTGTCTCAGGGGCCCTTTGGCTCATTGTTACCATAATCCACATCTGAAAATTCCTCTTCTGCAGATAGTATTGAAAGACAAATTGTTCATGGACAGCTTCTGACACCAGACCTATTAAGTGACCTATTTCAAAATAATTTGGCAAATCAAATTTTCTTACATAAAGGATGGTGGGAAATTGTCATGTCACTGTAAAAAAAAAAATCACAATATTTAGAGCTTGACTAAATAAGAACTGAAAATACCAATAAGGAGGAGTACCTGGAGAATATAACAAGAAGGATGAAACCACAGAAATGAAAATCTAAATTGGTTAGCAAGATGTACTTGTTTCTGAGAGAGATCTCCTATGACAGGGAAGAGTTTGCAAACTGTGCTGATAAGAGAGTTTTAGAACCACTGGAGCATGGATGTTCTGAGGGATATCAAAGTATACTGTCAAAGAAATGATCTGCATTATCTGCTGGTACATTTCCATTTCTGCTTATTTTTTTGCCAAACATATCCTCTATATCTCCTTACTGATGTCAGCACTTACTGAGTTAAATTTTCTATTTTTATGGTTACTCATGGTAAATCTTTTGAACAAGCAGGAAAATATAATTTCCAAAGGCAATTACTGCTCTAAGTAATGTAACACAAACTTGCAGCTGCCACAAGATGCTTTCAGAAAAATCTGAGTTGGTTGCTACCTTCAGTACTTGGCAGCCTTCATGTCTTTTTAAATGCTGATTTAATATCTGAATTAGAATAATTAAAAAAAAAAACAAAAACCAAAAAAACAACCAACCAAAAAGAAAGCAGCCTTACATTTGCAGATTTTCTCCAGGCAAATGCCAGTGTTCCAGCCATGCCATGTCAAGTAGCAGGAGTGTTGCTGTCAGAGCTGGCTGATTGGGCAGGAAATGAGAGAACAAGCAGTTGTGAAGGCAGGTGTATGCATCCAAAAAATACAGGGACCATGAAGCAGAAGGATGGGGGAAGTGACTGTTGTTAAATTAACTGTTCACGTTAAAAAATATAGTACTGGTATTTTGAGCTAGTCAGAAAACTGAGACTGCAATTTGATTGCTCTTAAGTTGTGCTGTGAAAAATCATCTCAACAGGGCACTGTCCAAGCAACTAAAAGCAGATGAGCCTCACAAGGGTATAGTCAAAATCATGACTTTTTGTATAGAAAGAAAAAATTCCTGAAGTGTTTTAAAGTGAGATAGGTTTCATGCATACAGCTTAGTTTTGTATTAAAAGAAAGCAGTCTGCATCTTTTTTTGTGGCTTCCTAGCCCCTTTGAGGTTTCATGCTGTTTTTATGAGATGCAGCAGAACTTAAAATGTATTTTAACTGTTGAATACTTTTGGCTTTCTTTTTATTTGAGTCTTTTGAGTTATATTTTAGGATTTTGCTACATGTAAAGGCCTTCTGAACCTTATTTTTATACATGAAATCTGAATTTTTCACACAGTTGCTTCTGTTTTGTAGCTGGTTCTTTAACATAAAACTGTAAATTGATGATGA